TGTTTCATACTTGTTTAGTGGGAATAATAGGTAACTTTATGTATTAGTCATTAGAGTTAGCTTAGTAGCTTGGTAGATGTATTCTTATTTTAAGAGTTGCGGTTGCCTATATATTAATTATTGCATCATCATCATTTGCATGCATATAGAGGACGAGCCACTGGAGATCGTGACATTCGGCGAGCAGGAGTACGACGAAGTCATCGAAGAGTACGAGGAGATCCTCGTGCAGGAGGACGTTCCGGAGCCACCCATCACTGACTTTGCTGACACCGCGCCTGCCCAAGGCAAGCCCCGGTGCATAACCCCTATTTTTAAATGATCTGAATATATTTATATGATATGCATTTACGTTACAGGCATTTTATGAAAGCTACATGCATAAATATATCAACCATGAGTCCTACTAGTATAGGTCGAGTAGCTGCTATGCTCGGGATGTCAGAGCGTGAGTAACCCGTCGTTACTTTCGCAAATAGGTGTTTAAACTGTGATATCATGATGAAATAATGGAAAGGAAAATGGTGACCTGGACGGGGATGTGGATTTGGTACTTTGGTGGGTGTGAGGGGTTGTGTCTCTGCGGCCAACAGGGGCATAGCCCTGTTACACTTTTTTTCCCCGCCTGTGTCGATTAAGGACCGGTCGTTGCATATGACTCTAGGCAAGTCACAGATTATTGTCCCGAGCACATACTTGGGTATGGGCGCAGGAAGGCTTGTTGCTCTCTTGTCATGGATCCGGCTCTTCCGGACCGGTGATGGGAAGAGGAGGTGGTGGAGGTCCTTGCACCGACCGAGTCCGGACTCGGGATGTGGGGGCTTGAGTCCAAGTTTGGACGGGGACACGGACACCGGGACAGGAGAGTGGTGGGTTAGTCTGCTTGCAGCTCGGGGTACAAGCGGGCGTAGTGTCTTCGGGCACCCAAAGTTGGGCACATTGATTCGCGAATCGCCGGGTTATCGAGTAAGACGGCTTGTCTGCGGTTTAGCACCGTAGTAAGAACTCGAAAGTTGAAAGGAGAAGAAATGGAACCGATTGCTCAACTCTTGCTTGAAAGTAGAACAGCTTATATAGATTGATTAGATGAAAACTTAATACGGTGATGATAATAATGTATCAATAAGGACTCACTATTAGTATTGCTTTTTGCTAAAAGAGAACCAAGCAAACCATAAAGCCTAGCATATTCCTTGGAGTCGGGAAAGTATTCCCCTTTGTCGGATAAGTCTTTGAAAGTACATTGTGTACTGGGGTTTATTTACCCCATTGCAGGTGTGACGCTTGAGGAGTTCCTTGTGTGGAGGATCCATCTGGTGGGCTCAGACGGAATCCTCGTTATCTTATCGCTAGATGTTATCTTTTAATATTCCGCTGTTTATCATTCCGTACTCTATATTTGGTATTGTAATAATGTACTTTTCAAGAAACTCTAATGTATGAGATAGACTTGTGTTGTAACTCGTTTTCATTATTGGATCCTTGGGAAAAATGTGGATCTTTCGGGTTCTCCCTTGGGGTGTGCTCGACGGACACCGCTCGCTGTAGTTACTTTCGAGGTGCTTAGTGTCTGATGGAAGACAAGCGCCTTCGTAAGTACGCTATTTCGGGTGGTTCTGCCACATAGGGTCTAGATCTAGGGTTCCTTTTCTTCTTCCCCTTCGGATTTGAGCGGGTCTAGGCCGAATCCCTCTTCTTTCTTTGTTTTTCTTTTGGTGCTCGGATTGAACCGATTTGAGTTTCTTTTCATTTCTTTCGGGTGTCATCCGAATCTCTTCCCTTCCCCTTCTTCCCCTTTCCCCTTCTTCTTTTGGGATTAACCCGATTTGGGATGAGGTTACAAATTAGGGTTAGGGTTTCGGTTGAACCTTTACTTTTGATTCGTCCGTCCTTGCTTTTCTTTCTTGGGTTAGGTCTTAGGGTTCGGCCAAATCCGAAACAACTCTTCTTCTTTCTCACGCGAGTTAGGGTTAGAGTTGGGAAGAACCCTCTTTCTTGTCAGATCCGAACTGGATTTGATCTTTTCTGTTCTTTGTCGTGTTAGTGCGGCACTTTTCCCACGCGGTGGCGGTGGTGACCGGGGTTCCAGTGACCTCCGCCACCTCCGGTCCCTTTTCCTTTTCTTTTTCTTTTACCCGGTTAGGGTTAGGGTTACACAGAGGCAACCTGGCTCTGGTACCATTGTTAGGATCGATGAATGTACATCTCTGTGTAACCCGTAGATCCGGGTAGTCCTCTGCTCTGGATTCCTCTGCACGCCTGGCTGCAGCCTCACGGACGCCGGTACTTGGTACGATGGTGAGGAGGCGAGGTAGCGATGCCGTGGAGGTCCAGAGGGAACGGTGGTGACCCTGCAGAGGCAACGGCGGTGGTGGCGGTCTCATCCCGTCGCTGGCAGCACGCTTTAGGATCGGATTAGGATTTTCTCTGTAGGTGGGTGGCGGCTCCGTTCAACCTCATGACCCGAGCCCAGTTCCCCACTCCTCTATATATATGTGTTGTGCGACAGGGGCCCACCAACCAGTTAGGGTTGGGCTCCCCTGATCAGGGAGCAGAGGCAAGGGCCCAATAGGCCGTTGGGCCTATTGGTGGAGATCAACTAACAGTCTATCCTTGGCTGGTATTAGAGAATTTCTACAGCTATGGGATTGCCTCTTGGAAATTATTTTGACGGACCAAGAGGATCGTCATACATGGAGGTTCGATGCAAGTGGATGTTACTCTTCCAAATCTGCCTATAAAGCTTTTTTCTATGGTGCTGTGACCTTTAAGCCTTAGCGTCGGCTATGTAAGACTTGGGTCCTTGCCAAATGCAAAATGTTTTTGTGGTTGGCAATCCGAAATAGATGTTGGACGACAGATAGTCTTGCTAAGAGGGGCCTCTCTCATCCGGATAAATGCCCTCTATGTGATCAAGAAGATGAGACGATACAACATCTTTTAACAACATGCGTGGTGGCAAGACAAGTTTGGTTTAGATTATTCACTCCACTGAACCTAGCAGATTCAGTCCCCCGACAAAATGAACTGAGCTTTGTTGACCGGTGGCGCACGACGATGAGCAGAGTTAGCAAGGAGCACAGAAAAGGAGTGAACACTTTAATTATTTTAGGGGCCTGGATTATTTGGAAGCATAGGAATGCATGTGTTTTTGAGAGGGCTTCTCCTTCGCTTAACATGATTTGGAGTGAACTGAAGAATGAGCACAACCTCTTCGCTTAACATGATTTGGAGTGAGCTGAAGAATGAGCACAGCCTCTGGTGCATGGCTGGGGCGAGAAAATTACAGGGGTTAGGTCTCGAGCTTGCAGACTAGGTCTTTTTGAGCTAAGATCGAGTCGTATTGTCCAATATGTGTCTAAACCTTATGGCGGTGTGATTGCATCACTCATATTTGGTCTCCGTATGAGTGAGGATCCTGTTGAGGACTCCCCCTTTTTTCATCTCTATAATGCCATGAAACGGAAGGTCGCGGGTTCGAGTCGCGGTCTCCTCGCATTGCACAGGTGAGGGTAAGGCTTGCCACTGACACCCCTTCCCCAAACCCCGCACAGAGCGAGAGCTCTCTGCACTGGGTACGCCCTATAATGCAATGAAACACAGCTCTCCTACGTTTAAAAAAAAAAAGATAAACCATGATGTAATGACCGGAGAAGATGATGTTGCAGCATCGTTCAGCTGTATGAAGATTGTAAAAACGTCTACGAATGAATGGGTTTCACAAAGCGACGTGATACTGAAACACCACAAGGAGACACAGGGACCAAAAGGTCAAGGAAACTTCTTCTCCAGCGGATCCAGAGTCCCTCAAGCAGTCAAGGGCCAATCAGCCTGTCACAGGTAAGGTAGGACTGCAAGTCTGCAACTGCCACACAAGGATCATGGCAAAACTAATGCAAATGATTAGCGCTAAAGATGGAGACCGCCTCTTGTAACCGCTCCTGCAATCAACAAGCATAATTCCAAATGCCTGTCTCTCTCGTGCAGTGGCAAAGCACTCAGGCCTGGGGGCACCACATCCTGGCACCATTTCTCCGCTCCTCACAAGCTCAGGATTCTGATACATGCACATGACATCATAGGTGGCACTTGTCCTCTTGTCTGTTTTGGTTTTAGTTTTGGCTTGACTCTCATCTCAATCAGCTGCCGCCAAGAAAAATATAGTCACAAATGCGTCTTCTGTTCATCAACACAAATATTCAAGTTTTTGGGGACATACCTTCCAGGTTGGCAACAATTCCATGCATTTTGAATATACGTACATACATATAGGAGTACATGACATCAGAGGTGAGGTGCCAAATGTCATAGTAACCTTTCAAGCCAATCATTTGTTCTTCATAGGATGCATACGTGTCTGCTCCAAAGAGACGCGTATGGACAGCACCAAGTCAAAGATTTGCAGATTCGCGCACACGGACAAACAGACCAATCATGACTCAAACATACACACCAACAGAGGTTTCTCATACCTACAGACACTGCAGGATTATTATAAGGAGCAGCATTCCGTTGATACTACACAGAAACAAGAATTTAGCTGTCATGTCTTATGTTCAGATAAACTCCTCGGCGTCTATAAATAGACCATAGTAGCAGGAAATTAAGCATAAGTGCAACCAGCTCCCTAACATCTCCTCCTTCATCTGTCTGCTTCCTACTCTCTACAAAAGAAACATCTCCTTCGTTTGACAAAGATGGCGGAGAAAGCAAGCGCCGCTCGTCTCATCAGAGTTTACAGGGCTGAAAGGCAAAGGAGAGTTCGTCCGCTCCCACGGCGCGGACAGATTAAGCTCAAGATAGCACACATTGTGGTGCGCTCCATCGCTTCCGCACTCCTCAGGGCCCTTTCGCCACTCCCAGTTCTCAATCAGAAATGAACGTGACAAAATTGTAAAGTTAGTTTCTGCTCTAGGTTTGCTCCCTGTGTAATCTGTTTATCAGAAAACGGCAGTATGTAGAGGTCTTTCCTCTCTCTGCAGTATTGGTGTGAGTGAGCTTCATGAATGGCCCTGTGGTCCATTATTCTCATTTTTCTTGCCTTGCTCCTGTGTTGCGTCTTTAGCTTGTTGCTCAGTGTTCTCATCGCTATTAGGCCGATCGCCATCTGATTCTGATTCGCTCTCAGAGCTGTCGCTATCTGAACTATCTCCGCAGACTAGACTCTTTGATGGCTTTATAGTCATACCAACGATACTTCTGATCCATGTCCCCTCGAAAAGATAATTTCCTGACGAGGTTGAGCCACCCGTATCCTCCGCATTTGATGAGGTGCTTGACGATGTGCCAGTCAAAAATGTTGAGGCTGCTTTGCATGCAGTCACAATTTCCCTTTTCGCTTGTTTCAGCTGAGTGCAGAGAAAAAGATTGATGAGATTCAGTATGTGCCAATTTTATAAACTAAATTAATTTGGACAGTATTGCCAATGGATAAGGCTACTACTACTGCTACTGTTTCACATAATGGCATAAATTCCTTTGCATACAGATTTTTAAGAAATATATTTCCAACACAATCTGACAGTGTACCACAACAATTTTCTATTAGATTTCCTTCAGCTAGAAAGAATGCACATTAATTTTTGAGTCTTCCCCATCCTGTTTCAGTTTGGTTAACATGATGGCATGGTCTACTTGCTCAAGTTTTCAAAGAGTGAGATGCGGAACACAAAAGTCTAGAAGATACACATAACTTGAGGGGAAGTACATCAAATTCCAATGGTACAACAGGAGATGACAAAATTTCAAGAGAAAACATAAAAATAGCAGAAAAGTCCAGAATGCATACCTTTACTGCTGTAGTTTCAGCAACCTCTAGAGCAGCATCACCCGCATTTGCAAAGCGATTGACCCAACCTGCACATAATCAATCACTTTGGAGTCATAAATCAGTTTAATTTTGAAGATGTTTTCATGACTGGACTTCAGTTCAAAATAAAGGGCTTATATTTCAGCAGCCATTATAGACAAGGAACAACCAAATAATTTGTTTACGAGTCAAATGGTAAGAAATGATAAGAACCTGGAAGTTTTGGTACTTCAAGCTTTTCGCAGAAGGTATTGCAGAAGTGGTTGCAGTTTCTTGACAGGAGTTCATATGACTGTCCAGGCCACTCCCAGCTCAGTTCCCTTAGTATCTGATTTACCTTGAGGATACAGCAGTTGGTCTTCCCCAGCACTATGGACTCACGATAAGTGTACATGGGATTTTTGCATGGGGGGCAGCTAAAAACCCCAGTGCCACGGTCGCAGTAGCCAAAGGACCATTCTTCATCATCATAGACCTGTTAGTTGAGATGCTCAGGAGTTAATCACAACAGAGCCTCAACAATAAGCACCTAATAATGAATAGTCAGTTGCTAGGAATCCAATCGCAGATAAAATCATTGATACCAATACCATGGATGACTAGTTTCGTAGGATGAATTTACAAAAATTTCATTGAAGAGAGCAGTAAAGGACCCTAACAATCAGTGCTTATTCTAGACGGCCAGGAGGAGCTAAGCAGTTCACAGAACCAGGAGCAGAATGGTTATAAAGAATAAAGAGTGTTTTTCTTTTCACAATTCATGGCATCATCGTTAGGACGACACAGAGATCTATCTTTTACCACAAGGCTGCATTCAACCCTACTGGATTAATAGGAAATCTCCAAGCCCCCATTGAGAACTACAGTTTGAAGTCACACCCTCTTCAAGGAGCACGGTATCAGGCTAAATGGTGACTACTGGCTAGCAGTTACATATATGGCACAGTTTGTACGCTTGTCAATTCCAACGAAAAATGAAGTTAAATTCTTCACACGAGCAATAAAAACATAATCGCCCCCATTCAGTACAAACAGCAATGAATTAAGATTTGGGGTTAAAAAAAACAATTTGACGCATTAACCAATGCCACTATACAAAAAAGAACCGATTTCTATCTCTCCAGAAGACGAACCCGCTGGAGTCGAGATCCAATCTTTGCGGGCGTTGCAGGCATCCCAAATGGAGAAAAAGAATGGCGGTGGGATCGGGAGGAGAAATGGATGACCTGGATGGCGGTGTGGAAGATGCCGCCGAGGCCGATGGCGTCCTTGAAGAAGCGGTTGATGTGGAGCACGGTGGTGTCGGAGCCGGCGGTGGCGACGTCGTAGACGTGCGCGACCACATCCTGGCCCATCCCCTGGCGCGGCGCCTCGCCGCCGGAGATCGCTGGAGCCTTTTGCCGTAGTCCTACCTTTTTGCCAGAGCGGATGACGAACCGGGCCCACCTATCGGACGATCACCGGCTGGGTCAAGGCAGGCAGTCTACACTTTGGATGGCGCCGTCCTATTTTACGTTTTCGTTCTCTCTACGTTTTACTACAAATTTTAAGTCATTTTATAGTTTTTCAAGATACATACAGAGCAGAAGCACCCAAATCAAGGCCCCTACTTTAAATTTGAGTGCTCTCCTCTACTTTTGTTGGCCCAACTTTTTCTTCTACTCCCGCAGCAGCACCCATATCTAAGCCCCTAAAATCATTCCAGCAAACAATGACAAGTGGGACCCGCTGGTCATTCTCTCTTTCTTCTCCCTCCCTTTCTTTCTTCTATCTATCCACTGTTCCTCTCCATATCTACCGTGCGGGGAGGAGTCCCGCTTCCGGGAAGGAGGCTGCACCGGGGACGGAGCCGCGCCTGGGAGGAGGCTGCATCGGGGACGGAGCCGCGCGCGGGGACGGAACCGGGCCTGGGAGAACCGGGCCTGGGAGAAGGCTGCGTCGGGGACGGAGCCGCGCCTGAGCAGTGGCCGCGCCGAAGCAGGTGCCGCGTCGGGGAGGAGGCCGCGCCGGAGCAGGGGCCGCGTCAGGGAGGAGGCCGCGCCGGGGAGCAGCGGCCATGGAGGGCGTCGCAAGGTGGGGGAGGGCGTCACTACGCTTCCGTGCGAGCACGCGTGGGGAAAACTGTCGCAACCAATGGATGGGGGCTCGAAGGTGAGCCAACGAGAATGTTGTCTGGGGTGAAGATTTGGGGGCTCATCAAATTTCAAGGCCATAGTAGGGGCCCTGCTGGAGTTGAATTTTTGGCCCGAGCACCCATATTTAGTTATGGAAGCTTAAGTAGGAGCCCTGCTGGAGTTGCTCTTATCCATCTAGATATACATCATGCCTACCTATATAATACAAGCTACGTATCTAAAAAAGCCAGAACAACTTATAATTTGGAATAGATGGAGTACTTTTTTCCCCTATAACGACTTGTTTTTCTCTATACGGTGGTTTTGCACTCTCCACACTTGAGTTCATTGTGCATTTGAAAAGCTAATGTTTTGAACGACTCGATCTATCACCATTTCATTTATGTTTGGTGTGGATTCATCCTCACTTATATGCTACTCTCGCGGCTTCGCTAAATTCTCTAGTAACGTTATGGCCAAGGGTTAGATTTCTTAAGTTTCATGATTTGGATTCACTGTCGAGCTTAGAGGAGCAATTATGGTAGGCCAATAAATCAGTGACGAAGCCAAAAAAATAAGATTAGGAGGGACAAATGCTAATAGGGGGCCATTTACTCTTTAGTTACATGGCAAATTAGCTTGGTTATTAAAGGATATAGTGGAAAAACGTCAAAGTTAGGGGGTCAGGCCCTCTCTAGCTCCCCTGTCTCCGCCCCTGAGATCAATGATGGCAGCGAGTCGTACGCAGGACCACAAGGTGTCATCAGGCCATCAAGGTATTTACTACCACGATGGCAAAGAATATGTACTAGGGTTGAGATAGAAACGACGATGAATACAACAACAACGGTGAAAGGTATAGCATGACGCTTGACAAAATTGTACCATGTCACGGCTAGGCCGTGTGCCTGATCCGAGCCTGCCAGTAGTCTTATTGGGCTGGACAGAGGTTTCGCTAACCAGAAAACAAATTCCTTATCCCGGGCATAGCTCAAAACATCATTTGTATTTATTTTTATATTGAAAACTCGTGGTCAGCCCGCATATCCCCAATTATGAGGCCTGAACCTACTCACAGCAGGCCTGGACGCAGATTCTAGGCTCGAAATCAGTAGGGCATTTTGTAGGCCCGGTCTGATCCGACTTTTGCTCAGGTCTAGTCACGGCAAGGGTGTTTGTCACGTCAAGTATGTCTATGAAAAGAAGACGGGAGAAGAGCAATGCAAAGAAGAAATAAGGCCACGTTTAGTTCCTCCTCAAAAAGTTAATATCCCATCACATCGAATATTTAGGCACATGTATAAAGTATTAAATATAGACTAAAAAATTAACTAATTATACAGATTGCGACTACTTTACGAGACGAATCTTTTAAGCCTAATTAGTCTATGGTCTGATAATAAAGTGCTACAGTAACACATATGCTAATGACGGATTAATTATCCAAATTCTGTAATTTATTTATTTTTATTAGTATCTAAATACCCCATACGACACCTCCATGTGACACCCCAAAATTTTACACCCTCGAACTAAATAAGGACTAAGATTTGGATAATGGGGTCCAAAAGTTAAGAAAATCAAATGATATACCCTAGAGCTGAGCATAAATGAAACTGATCATGCAAAGGCCGAGCTTTGATTTGGCCTAGGCTGACTATAGCCCACTACATCAAACCATTCACTACTATGGGCAGCGCTGGAACACCATTCCGTTACCTTGAGAAATTGATCTTAGACTGAATTTTGCCTTGAAAAATGATGTTAAACTGAATTTTGCCTTGAAAAAAACGCACCCTAGGATTTTAATTTGCCGGGAGAACATGCACGATTTTGGACTGAATTATTTTGCAAAGCGTTTAAGCCTTGTATTACGTCATCCCAAACGTCGAATAATAAAGCATCTTCATACTCGGTGCGTCTGATCTTAGTTTTGATCCATCATCCGTCCTCAACCACGGAGAGAAGGGAAATTAAAGAACAAGAGAGGGCTAGAGAGAGAGAGAGAGAGAGAGAGAGAGAGAGAAAAGAAAGAAAGAACGATGAAGCCCATGCCCATGTAAGATTTAGGACATGTTTGGTTGAGACGCCAAACACTTTTATTTGCTTGCCAGGTAGCGGATGTCGTCGATTTTGGTCTTCCGGTGGTCGAGATCAAAGCCTATCGAAAAAGCTGCCTGTTGGCAGGCCACAACAACCAAACACATCATGATATATACTCAACTCTTTTTTTTTTTGGGTGAAAAAGCCTCATAGGCAATTTGGTTAAGTAGCGGCTGCCGCCACTCATTCTCCACTCTTTATGCTGATAAAAACTAGTGAAGAGATAGATGGGAACATGTGGCTGCGCCATATATCGACCGACGACCAATCGCGACGGATCCATGCGCGCGTGCAAGTAAAGTGCACGCATGCAAGCATATGTCGTAGTTCAATCGTTAGAATTATTATTGAAATTTACAGGCGATCGGAGAGAAAATATGTGATGTAGGGTTGAGTGCAGGTCACAATTGCCTGGATTGAGTTGGTTCATGCGGTTTATTTTTTTCGTCGTCAACGATGGATAGGATTATATGTTACTGTATATTTGTGTGCATTATGGTGTGTGGATGGATAGAAAGAAAGGGCGGGCGGCTAATTGGTTTGGTGTAACACCCCGGTGTTATGCCTACATTTAGGCACTGCAAATCATGCATATCATGCATCATCAAGCATCCTAATCATACATGCATAATCTTGCATATAATAACTGAAACATTACTTCGAAACATACGAAATATGTTTGTGAAACGTAAATGATGCATACATTTATTAGAGTTGTTTTGCTCTGATTCTTGCTTGCTAGGTTAGTAGAACATGTTTGGCTGCTATTGTAAATCATCTAGCAATGTTTAGTTCAATTTTTGGAGCAATGTGTGTATTCAAATTAATTCAAAATTTGGCTTCAAAAATAAATTCCAAAAATTAGGGTTTTGAGCTAAACGTGAACTTTGATCTTTCAATTCAAAATCTAGAAAGAATTTGGCTGTGGTCCTAAAAGCAAAGTTGTAGAGAATTAAATTCTAAACAACTTTCATTTTTGGTACATTTTCAAAAGAGGTCATTTTCTTGCTCAAAATAATATTTGAAAGATAGCATTTAAAATCCCTTGAAAATACAAATGAAAAAGGATTTTTTCATTTTTTGTGGCACGCCCGCCTCGCTTTCAGCCCAGCCCCATAAGCCGGCCCTAAAGCCCCCAGCGCCTCGCCTCGGCCCAGCCCAGCCCCAGCCCGGGCCTGCCTGCCTCCATGCGCCACGCCATCCCTAACTTGCTTTCGCACGCGCCACGCCATGCGGCAGAGAAAATTCTTGGCGTGGCGACCCAGCCGGCGTCGCTCGCCAAGGTCACGGCCATGACGACACTGCGCCCGCGCCCGCCTTCACCTGCTGGTGCCCGTCGCTCGCTCCTCACCCCTTGCTGCCTTCCTTCTCCTCCAGAGCCGAGAGCCTCAAGCTCGCCTCGCACGCACACGCACCACGCGGCGTGATTCACCGCCGGTGCTCCTCCACGGCCAACAATCAAGCACCAGCAGCTCCGCCTCGCTCTCCCGGCACTGGTGCTCGTGGTTGTGCCGTCGTTTGAGCCGAGGTAGCGCTTTTTCCAAGCTTCGCCGCCGTCGTCCATGGCGCCGCCGTGCTCGGCCGCCGTGGAGCGCCCTCTTCCTCCCCTTCTCAGTCGTGCTTAGCTGCCTGCTCGTTTTCGCCATGGCCTCGCGAACCTCCTGCGCTCGCTTGCTTGCGCTGCCGTGGTCGAGAGAGATGGCCGCTGCCTGTGGCCGAAGCCAGCGCCGTCACACACACACGGCAAGACCGGAACCTGAGCCTACCTTGACCGGCCGGTACACCGACCGAAGTAAAGCAGTGCACCAGTAAAGCCTGTTGCGCAAGCCATGGCGCTCCTCCTCGCGCTTGGGCCGCGTGGGCCAGATGCGGCCATGGGCCAGCTGTTCCCTTCGGGCCGGCCCAGCAGTGTTTTAAATGAATTGTTTTCAATTTATTCATTATTATTTGAAAAATGAAATGGTTTGCAAAATATTTGGATACTCAAAGTTGCTCCAAATTTGTTGAAACAAATTTTGCTAGGTTCCTTATCATCAGATCTACTTGGGAAAAATTGTGCATGTCATTTTGAGATACTTTTCTATAGGATTTTATTTAATCTTGAATATTGCTGATAACTTGAAAATATGTGAAAAATA